TGACTGGCCAGCGAGAGACGCCGGAGACGTGGTGAAAGTCACTGGAGGATTGAAAGGCAGATTTGTATTTAAAAAGAGCACTTTTGCTGCTGTGTTGACAGCGAGGTTAGAGGTGAGTAAAGTGGATGTTGGAGGCCACTGAGGAAGCTATTGTAATTCAGAGGAGAGATGCTGGAAGCCTGGCCTCCCTGGTGGCTTGAGAGTGAGAAGCGAGTGGACTTGGGAGATTTAAGGAGAGTGAGTCAATACGACAGTGTGATGGATGGGTGCAGAGTGCAGAGGGGGATGTCGGGCATGACCCCAAGGTTTCTAGCCAGGAGGAGGGTGGCATTGTCATTTACTAAGTGGAGAAACACGGGGAAAAGATTGGAATTGGGGGGGAAGGAAAAGTGCAAGCTCTAGTTTTGGGTAGATTGATTTTGACTGCTTGTGAGACAGGCAAGTGGAAATGTCAGTATTCATCCAGTCTGAATGAGCTTAGAAGTGAGGTTTCTGGGATGGAGGTACGGAGTTGGAAATGGTTGGCACTTGGCCGCTGAATGAAGCTGTGGAGATAGTTAATGCCTAGACCCCACAGAGAGGCTTGGGAGAGGGAGGAGGGCCTTGGACAAGCTTGGAGAAAGCCAGCAGCTAAAGGTACCCCCTGGAGTGACACTGTTTGGAGCTCATCAGGCATGGAGTCGGGGTAGAATCCAGAAGGGGCTGTTTTGAAGGGAGATGTGGAGGTGAGGAAGTAGAGACAAGTCTTAAAGGATAGTATGGACAACTTCAAATATATAGAATTAGTTTCCTATTGCTGCTATATTATCCCACAGTTCTGGAGGTCAGAAATCTGAGTGTTTCTCCCTGGCGAATGAAGGAGGTGCAGGGCCGTGTTCTTCGGGACTGCCTGCTTGCCTTGGAGCTTCTGCAGGCTCCTGGCCCCCTTCCTCCAGCTTCAAATTAGCAAAGGTGAGGTGAGCCCTTCACACATTGCACCACTCTGATCTATTGTCTGTTACTGTCCCCCCACTTTTAAGATGCTTGTGAGGGACATTGATGACCAGGACTTCTCCCCTATTTCAACGTCAGTTGATTAGCAGATGAAGTCCATCTATAACCTAAATTTCCCTTTGCTGTGTAGGGTCATATCTGCACAAGTTCTGGGGATTAGGACATGGACATCTTTGGGAGACCATTATTCTGCCTATACCAGTGGCCGGCAAACTCATTAGTCAACAGAGCCAAATATCAACAGAACAATGATTGAAATTTCTTTTGAGAGCCAAATTTTTCAAACTTAAACTATATAGGTAGGTACATTGTTATAACTTAATTAGGGTGCTCCTAAGGCTTAGGAAGAGCCACACTCAAGGGGCCAAAGAGCCGCATGTGGCTCGGCGAGCCGCAGTTTGCCAACCACTGGTCTATACACAATATATGTAAAGTATAACAGACAGTATATTGCGTCCACCTACTTACAACTCAGCTTCACAACACAGTTTTACCTCCATCCCTGACCTTCCCCTTCA